TTTGCTGATGACACTGCTATTGTCCTGAATGGAGCTAGCTGGGAAATTGTACAAAAGAGAGCAGAGTCAGCACTACAAAGGATAAAGGGATGGTTGGATGATAGTCTTCTATCATTAAACATAGAAAAAACTAAATTTATGACCTTCTCTCTTTTTACGCATACATTCCCTGATTTCCAACAACTTAAAATGCATGAAACGCAGTGCGTTTTTGAACTGCAATGCAGCTGTAACAAATTTATTGTTAGAACACCTTCATTATTCTACTTAGGGGTGATTCTGGATGAAAATTTAAATACAAATTTTATGAATTAAGGAACATCCTTGACTTTACAACACTTAAAATGATTTATTACTCTCTTGTTGAATCAATTTTAAATTACGGGATAGTGGTTTGGGGAAATGCTGGCGTTTCAATTCTATCAAAATTGCATGTTGCACAAAAATGGATTTTAAAAATTATTCTTTTTAAAAGGAGGAGGTATCCCACAAATCTGGTATTCAATGACAGCGGTGTTCTCAATCTTGAACAGCTATACATAAAATCAGTAATTAGATTTATGCTGAAAAACAATTACTTTAAAGTAGATTTAGCACATGAAGTGAATACTAGAGGTGTGGGTCATGGAAATGTGGAATTACAGAACCCTAAACATGCACGTTGTCAGAATCACATATATTGTGTAGGGCCTAAAATATTTAATGACCTACCAGGTAAATTTAAAACGCAAAACTACTCCACAGCCAAATCTGAAATTTTTTTTTAACCATTTATTCACAAATTTTTTTTTTATAGTACATTCATATTACACATAATCTTAAATCAGTGTATAAAACACTGTTCTCAAGAATATAATTACTAAATGGTTACTTGTAAATAACTATAAGATTAATTATTTGATCTAGACAGCCTTTTCGTTTAGACTTCAGTGCTCTCAGTTGTGATTTTTCTTGTTTGTCTGTTTTTTTCTTTCCTTCTGGAACATGCATACCTCATGCTGAACATAATCAGTGAACAAATTGCTCATTTTTGTTAATTTTTATTAGGCCTAGACACATATTATATATAAATATAGGTAACTCATTTTGAAATGGGTGCACACACAATATTATGAATATCATTGTGCACCGAATAGTCAGTAGGAATAAGTTGTTATTATTTATTGTGAATATATAATAGTATTATGTATATTTTTGTTATACTACTGATAAATAAATAAATAAATAAATAAATTATGTAATGTTGACTTTTATCCTTAATAAAAAAACAGATTTTACTTAAAGTTTGTTGTTCATAAATTGAAATTGAAGATAGTGAAGTACCTAGTGTAGGTATTTTCTGCCATTCCAGCGGTAATTATGACGATATTCTTGAGAAGGCGGTTATATTCCGTCCATATCAATTGCGTATTTTAAAAAAACAATTATTAAAACAGAATAAATAGTTGAATAGTTCTTCCATTTCCTACAGGTCGTGATCGAATGGCCTCCTAATTTCTTTTAACCGAATTATTGAAGTATAGGTCGGACCGAGTGTAGGTCTCCGTTGAAGCGGCAGCGGCAGGCACGCATCGGCGTTTCACAAAAAAAATCGTACCTCGGAAACCGTTAACACTAGTGCAAATTTATTTTCACCAAAAACTTCCTCACTCATTTAGGCACATTTTTCGTCGATTGATCATATACTTATCTTCTACCGTTCAAAAATTTTCTCGATGCTGAAAATTCACTTCAGTTTTGGTACCGCACACCGCACCTTCTTTTACGTAATCTGACAAATTCAGTTTAAAAAAAAAAAGTTTTTTGCACATGCAGGTAAAATCTTCAATAGCTAGGCTTTCAATTGGTTCAAGAATTTTGAAAAAATATTGAAAAATGGCGTCACAATCGTGAGTTAAACACAAAAAATAGCTTAGCTTTTTTACGATAATTCAAAATAGTCGGAAATTTTATTTTTTTTTCTCAATTGCAATTACGAATTTATTGGAGCCCTCCGGATTTGAATCCGCAAGGTCATTCTCCACACTGTACATATTTTTTAAAACGTATATCTTCGAGTGCACAGTTCGATGTGTAGGAGACGTCTTTTCGGCAGTCTGATCCCCGACTAATATGCTCCCACTTTTATTATCTGAAAATCAAAAACTCTACCAACTACTCTCTGATAAAGATTGGATTGGCAAATATTGGGAACACGATTTTTTCCAACTCTTTAGGATGACCCATAGAGAAATATAATAAACCAAGGTAAGAGTACCTGATTGATAACATGAAAGTTTGTATAGCGCTGACGTCACAGCGACGGTGGCGTCAATAGTGGCAGCCGGAACATAACTGAAATGGCGGGAATTTTGAAATTTGACTTGAGTTGATTGTACAAAAAACTTACTTATGTTGTTCCACATCTTTTTTTCTCAAATCCGAATGAGAAACATGATGTGGTACTCCATAAAGTTTTGTGCCATTTTTTGATGTAGATTTAAAAAAAAGGCAAAATAAACACTAAATTGTACTAGAAAAAATATATATTATAGCTAGATAGGTCAAATACCTAAAGAGTTTACAAACACAGTTATTACATGCCTTATACATGCTTTAATGTATGTATGTACAAGCTAAGCTGCCAACATCTACATTTTATCTCTTCTGACTGAGGCCTCCTAAACCAGTAAAAAAATATGCCGTATATCACAAAACTAACATGTATACTTACTAGTTCAGTTTATCCTAGTTGTACATAATATTATACCGAGTGCCTTAATAAAAATAACAATTTCTTCTTCTTGTTCTTTAGATTTTGTGAGTTCGAGTCTTCTTAGACGACCGCCCAATCGGTTAAAAATGACAAATTTCAACACGGAAATGTCGTTATTTTGAGGTTACTTATATTTGCACTATTTGTTTTCTCGGTTACAATTTCTATAGTTATGGATGTTTGATAGGTTTCTACAAAACAGCTAGGAAAGCTCTGTAACTCATACGGTGTCCTTGTCTTGTGAATTGGTATGACAGAGAAAGATGAAACAGAATCGAATGATCGGACTGATCTTTCGTAAGTCTCTAGCTTTCCAAAAATTCCGCAATGCGCTATGCGCAACCGGATACGCAGTAATAGTATAACCTATTTCGGCTATACTTTTGAAGGTCTTTTTATTTTTTATTGTCTATGGGATGACCCATGATTCCTGAACTTTGTGGTTAGAACTGTTAGAACTTGACATCTGTTTAAATTTGACGCCTTTTGTTAACAGTTTTCTTTTTTGAAACGGTCTCCCAATAGTTATTTAAACAAGTTTTGAAAACGAATTTTTTCGCACGGCGAGACAGTAGTTTGTTGGACCGAGCCGAAGGCGAGTTCCACAAGTCGAGCAAGTGTGAAAAAAGGTTTTCAAACGAGTTTTTTACAATGGTTTTCCTACAACTGCAAAATAAAACAACCAAATATGTAATTTTTATTTGTTAGAAAACTTGAAGCGTGTGAAAAACTTTTTCGCACGCTAAAATGCGTGTGAAAAACTTTTTCGCACGCTGTGCGAAAAACTCTAATTTCAGAGGTTGCCTAGCGTGCGAAAAACTCCATTTTCAGAGGCAGTCGTAGGAAAAAGCTTTTAAAACGTTTTGAATCAGAATCAAATTTGACGTCATCAATGACTCAAGAAAACGGAGTGTTTTGAAACTATTTCAAAACGCTTTGTCGCAAAAAAATGCCTTAATTACTTAAAAATATTTCACAAATGACATTTCATGAGACAGGTCGCCATTTTTGAGGATGTTTTCTGTTTTCGCCAATGAATGTTTGCGCCGGCCGCCGACGTAATAGCAACTAAACTCGAACATTCAAAACCTCTCTCAATGCACTGAAATGTACGGAGCCCGGTCGTGCAATCTGTGTTCCGAGTTCTTAGTTCATAGTTCTGACGTCACAACTCGGAATTTCTGATTTACTACGTCATAACTCGGAATTTCTAATTTACTACGTCATAAGTCGGAAATGCTCATTTATTGCTAGTTTGGTGAAAATTGAAATTATAATAGTTATATTTAAATATTTTTTGTCTGAGATTAATCTGTAAGTGAGAGCGGGCAGCTGGAGCGTACATGGACACTGCACAGGCTGCAAACAACCTAACCTAAGATAAATAAAAAATCCTAAATTTTAACATTTATTTGTTAGCTGGATACTTTTAGTTCATTTATTTAAATGTTAACAATCAAATAGTTACTAAATTCTACATAATTGTCTACTTTTAATTAAATTTTCTCGGTTGTCCCCGTCACATATTCTCCCAAACGAACTTGGCAGTGTTTAGGTCCATTATTAGTTTACTAAACTTTAAGCACGACACAATTTTAGCAGAACACAAAAGAAAATGAGACTGTTTGAAAAAAAATATATCGACTTAGAAAACAAACTAGAAAAGTGGACATACTTATACTGAAAAAATAAACAATAATCAGCTGGTCCAGCTGATCGCTCAACCCAGCAGTTTTGCGTCTTTTGCAAGAGTTTATTTGGCTTGACCGGTGTACTCCCTGTGACGTCACGTTACTCCGTAATCGCTTTGCTGGTTCCGCGGAGCGTTAACCTAAACACGCCCTGTTCAAATCATTTTGTCCTAGCGTGGGAAAAATACTCTATATTGCAAATAATATTACATACTATTATCAGACAGAAAATATTAAATATGTACCTACCTATAACTACTATATTTTCAATTTTCACCAAACTAGCAATAAATGAGCATTTACGAATTATGACGTGGTAAATCAGAAATTCCGAGTTGTGACGTAGTAAATCAGAAATTCCGAGTTGTGACGTCAGAACTATGAACTAAGAACTCGGAAGACAGATTGCACGACCAGGCTTCCGTAGAAATGTCAGATCGAACACGGCAATTAAGCAAAGTGCGCACCGAGTTCGCACTAAGAGTGAGGGATAGAGTGTAAACATATTGAAATCGCTATGAGAAGGAACCTGTTTGTCCAGTTTGTCGTTCATAAGGAAGCTAAAATTTGCAATTTGCAGTTGCAGTTAATTGCAGTTCCATGGCATTATTGGCATTGAGTTACCATAGGGGTTTTGGGTTTTGGAGTTTTGTAGATTTCAGTTATTTCTACTGAAGAAAGAGAAACAGAAATTAGAAACAGAAACCCGGTCGAGACTCGAGTGCAAGATTTTGGAGAACTAAAAGCACCTAGAACCAATGAACTCCTAGAACTAGAACTACTCTATAAATAAATTACAGAGCCGGAGCCGACAGAAAGTTGAAAGTTTAGCTGTTTACTTAGCATAACCTACAAGATACAAGGGACTATTTTTCTACTTTTTCGATTTCTATTCTAAAAAAATCGGTCGTGTATGTTGTTTTACAATTATTGTTATATGTTGTGGTTACAATTGTTGTATCTATGTTGTGGTTTTCCATTGTTCTGTTCGGTTATAGACTCTATGGTTATAGGGTAGGACCGTAGAAGGCTCCAGGATTTTTAATTTGTGATTTAAATTTGGGGCATTCAAGGATCCAAACACTCCACCAATAATACTGTCCTATACCATGTGATGAAGCTGTAGCAGCTGTGCTAAGAAAGTAGAATTATTCAACATTTAAATAAATTTGTAGGATCAAGGACAAGTGGTAAGTACCTGAATAATTACTGAAGGCCTGAAGGGAAATCTAGGCCTGGGGCAAGGTTATTTGAGAGAAGTAGGTTGCCTGGATAACTTTATGATATCATCTGGGGTGCCTCAACTTAATGCAGATCCGAGTGCAGATCTCCATAAGGTGTCCCCAGATGCTTCATCAAATTACCCATTACCAGACAACAGACAACCTATTAACTTTATGAACCTTGGGTCTGGGGATAATTCTAGCTTTATTCCACAATCTTATGATGGATTTATAAATTATCCCTCGAATTATCCTGATAAAAGCCCATACTGTTAAAGTTTTTTTGCATTCCAAATGAATTGCTAAATAACAGCAAATTAGACTTTCAATTTTACATACTTAGGTGTATCATTATTATCAAGATTCAAGCCTCCTCCTCTAGTCTAGAAAAGTCCTACACTTTACTGAAACATCCTCTGAAGCATCATAATACTCCTTAGGTCTGACCTCGGGTCTGACTGAATCACCCAACTTCTTAGTTTTTCATTCAGAGGTTATTCATATTTGAGATTGGTACTTTAAAAAATTTACCTAAATCTTATGGAGACCTGGATTATAATTCCCTGAGCAATTCCCTAATGTTGCCGAGGAGGTTCCCAATTCACAAAAAGTTAACATAATTTTTTCAAATGGAGGCTTGTATCAGTTGTATCTAAATCAAGATCCATATTCTTGTTTCTCAAATGACTGGATCTGGTGGTGTATTTTGAGTACCTATACTAACTAAGGAAATTTTCTTGTAAAGTTTCAAAATTTGAGAAGAAAGAAATGGTGTATACTCGGGTGTATATTATACTCGATATTGTATTACTTATCTTGAGGCCAAAAATCTAAGGATAACACACTCTTTATTACAGAAAAATGAAAAATCAGGGTGTCCCACGGTGGATGGCGTATTAGACGTTTATAGAGAACTAAAAAGCGGATCATTTTGAAAATTTGGCAACCGGGATAAACGACCATAATCTACACTTTAAAAATATTTTTGTTTATGCGGTGTTGCCGCTTCTACTCTAAACCAGTGGCAACATCGCGATTTTAAATGAAACAGCCTGTATGTGATTGCATATTTGGATTCTACGTGAAATTCTGAGCAGATTTTATGTGATATACCCTATACCTAAGTTCAACTGTTTTGGAAATATTGACAGTTGAAAATTGACTTTTTGCAACTTTGACAGGCTGTAAAACCTAAACGGTTAATTTCAGAGGAAAACCGATCTTACATTCCTGTCTTAGATTTTCGTAAACTATCATTTGACACCAACTTTGAATTTAACCGCAGATTAAATTTAATTGGAATTTTTAATCATGGATTAAATTCAAAATTGGTGTCAAATGATAGTTTATAAAAATCTAAGATAGGAATGTAAAATCGGCTTTTCTCTAAAATTAACCGTTCAGGTTTTACAGCCTGTCAAAGTTGCAAAAAGTCAATTTTCAACTGTCAATATTTCCAAAACAGTTGAACTTAGGTATAGGGTATATCACATGAAATCTGTTCAGAATTTTATGTAGAATCCAAATATGCAATTAAATACGGGGTGTTTTATTTAAAATAGCGATGTTGCCACTGGTTTAGAGTAGAAGCGGCAACACCGCATAAACAAAAATATTTTTAAAGTGTAGATCACGGTCATTTATCCTGGTTGCCAAATTTTCAAAATGATCCGCTTTTTAGTTCTCCATAAACGTCTAATACGCCATCCACCGTGGGACACCCTGTATATAGGTAGTCATCCCATGCTAAAAATTCCCTTATCACAGGAAGTATTTCTTAAGCCGTGTTTATGTTGGACCTGTGATAAAAGCTATGAGAGGATCGATAATAGCGGTGATAAAAGCTATTCAAAAGTATCCTATCAAAAGTATCAGAAAAGTGTTGCTCTACTCGCCGCTCCAACATAGACACCTGCATATAAACACAGGCATTGTATTTCGTTGCTTCGCTAGTATCGTTGCTTTTATCGTTTATCACAGCTCCAACATAAACACGGCCTAAATATTGGATGTGCTAATTTTCATAAATTGGGGAATAAAAATAGCATCAATATCAATACCTTATACCTAAACAAGTAAATATACAGTCCCTATACTTAAGTAAGTACAATGTTTTTCTTTCTATGAGATTTGGAAAATACGATTTTCTGGACTGCTTTTAGTGTGGAAAATCGATTTCCTGCACTATGGTGTAATTGGCAAAATCTTTGCAGCACAAAAATAGTAAATTTTTTTAAAAAAAAAAAACGATTCCGCGAGAGTTTCAGTTCATCCCTTGGTTCATCCTATTGTCAAGATCATGCCTCAGGGTGTCTTGCCTTCGAGCTTGCCTCCATCTCAATTTATTCAATCCTCTTTTGATTATAAACATACATACACCCATTGGCGTATCCAGGATTTTGGTTTGGGGGGGGCTCTGTTAACAAAAAGTGTTGACCAAAAAAAAAAACCCTGCGCACAATACAAAAGTCCATTTTCACTTGCCTCTTATTGGCTACAGTCGATATATTCATGCGCTTGTTGACACATGTAGAAATGCTGAAATATTTTACTAGGTAGCAAGGGTTCACCGATTATACCTGTCCTTTCTTTTTTTATGAAGTAGTAAAGGACAAAACTAGGTCATAGGTTGTGACTAGTTTTACGTCCGCCATGTTTGGGAATGGTTTACTAATGAGAAATTTGGCATCCTCGCATGTTTGGGAAAGTGACGTGCCTCTCCTATCCCGCGTTTTCACAGCAGTTTGAAAATTCGATTTTCAAATCATTTTATTTTCAAAAATTAGCGTTTTTTGGGAAGAAAGTATACTGATGGTATCAAAATGACTAACAGATTATAGACTGTAAGATAGGGGCTGTTTAGAGGAGTCATTTTTTTTTGCCTGGCATTTTGAGGGCTGAATGTGGCTATTAAGCGGATGATAATAAGGGTGATTTTAATGCCTGCCTCCCGTTCGAAAATTTGCAAAAGAAAAAAATTGATTAACATGAAGATTTTTTTTTAATGATCTCAACTTTTTTGGCTTTTAAATAAAATATTGACATTGATAAATAAATAATTCACCCATGATGCTTTTCAATAGCTGAAAAAGTGGGGATGAGTGTCAACTTCCAAGAGAAAAAAAAAAGAACCTTGCGCGATTACTTTTTGTCTGGCAATCGACAGAATGAAAGGTTTTGTTGTGAAAATAACGCTGAAAAATTGCCAGACGGTAATCACAGTTCGAAATCGAGTTTTCCGACGAAACATTTTGTGGACATTTCGAACAGGGGGCAGGCATTAAAACCACTTATATTCTCATCAGCTAACGAGCCACATTCATCCCTCAAAATGCCAGACAAAAAAAATGACTCCACTAAACAGGCCCTATCTCAGGGTCTATTAATAAAGTTGCCTATTTTTGTCAGAATTCACCTGTAACATACCCAAATGTTACGCGCCTATTCTTTTTTGCGGGGCGACAAAAATGTTCGTATCGGGCTACTTATTCGCTTTTTTTATAACAGGAGACATTTTGTTCACGGAGCCTCTTCTCTCCTGAGTAAGGAAGTATTTCAGACATTCAAGATGATTAAGATGAAGTACTGATTTCCGAGCTGATTTCCTTGCTGAATTCGGCGTTCCCCATAGAAAAACCTTATCATAGAAAGAAATAAATTATATTTCAATTTTTGTTACAAAAATTGTACATGTCACATAAAATGCGCTGAAAAAAAAAGTCTAGACTTGCCTTGGGGGGGGGCTGCAGCCCGGCAGCCCCCCCCTGGATACGCCTATGCATACACCTCGATATACCGGATGAGTTACTAAGCGCGCGGTGGTCTATATCTCGTATACTAATGGAGATCGGAGAAAAAACTAAATACAAAACTTGTAGATAAACATGAGTACTACATTCCTAAATTATTTTCCAATATACAGGGTGGCCCAATAACTAGTAGTGACACAAAGTTATGTTTTTTTAAATGACTCTCCCTATATATTATGACATTTCTGAATTCTGCGGAAAATTCTAGACATATTTCATGAATAATCATGAATGAATGAATATCTTCAGCTGTTTCGGAATTATTGACAGTTGAAAATTGACTTTTTTTGCATCTTTGACAGACTGTGAAACCTAAACGGTTAATTTTAGAGGAAAACGGATTTTACATTCCTATCTTGGATTTTCATAAGCTATCATTTTGACACCAACTTTGAATTTAACCGAAGATTAATAATTTAAAGAGTGTTTTTTTTTAGAGTTTTTATCGTCTTTTATATACAGGGTGGTCCTTCGGGAATGACATCGATTGCTTATGGGAAAACTGTGAAAGGTAAAAATTTGAAAATTTGGCAACATAGCAATGTCGATGGGGGACATCTAGGTAAAATATTTTCAAGATGGCGGCATTTCCGGTCATACCGGAAGTTGATACCAACTCGGTTATTTTAAATAGAACACCCCGTATATAAATGTATTTTTGAATTCTACATAAAATTCTGAGCAGATTTCATGTAATATACCCTATACCTAAGTTCAACTGTTTTGGAAATATTGACAGTTGAAAATTGACTTTTTGCAACTTTGACAGGCTGTAAAACCTGAACAATTAATTTTAGAGGAAACCCGATTTGACATTCCTATCTTAGATTTTTATAAACTATCATTTGACATCAACTTTGAATTAAATCCATGATTAAAAATTTCAGTTAAATTTAATCTCCGTTTAAGTTCAAAGTTGGTGTCAAATGATAGTTTATCAAAATCTAAGATAGGAATGTGAAATCGGTTTTCCTCTAAAATTAACCAATTAGGTTTTACAGCTTGTCAAAGTTGCAAAAAGTCAATTTTCAACTGTCAATATTTCCAAAACAGTTGAACTTAGGTATAGGGTATATTACATGAAATCTGCTCAGAATTTTATGTAGAATCCAAAAATACATTAATATATGGGGTGTTCTATTTAAAATAACCGAGTTG